TGCAAAGGAAACACTGTATAAAGGTATAAAGTAGTTAATAAATCTGATCAAAAATATTTTATACAAAAATATACCTAAATCTAATAACCAAAAAAAAACTTCCCATATTCATATCTAAAATGAAATAATCAAACAACATACACGACAGCACTATTTCAGGAAAAACATGAACCAGCAGTGTTTGGAAGTATAAATAGCAGAAGGAAGCTAACAGAACTAAAATTTCCAATTAATAAAAAAATATTTGTGCTTTAAATAGTAAGCAATTAAAAGTGCAATAATTATGGAGTGTAATATTTACTAGTAATGCTGATGTTACTTAACACCATTTCTTTCGATCATATGTTAGTATATTTACTTATTTTTAGTTTAAACAATTTATAACAGTGGTAGATTACAATGATTATTTCATGCACTTTTTATAATCATTAACTTTCCTTTTGTTACAATACAGAAATAATTTAAATAACATGGTATGCGATAGTAAGCTAAGTGTTAAAGTAATCTCTTTGATAAATAGCACACGATGAAAATTTTATTGATATTTATTATGAATTTCTTTGTTATCACAAGACCATAAAAATTAAGCGAATAAAATAGAATATACTTAAATTTAATAAAAAATAAAACCTAATTTCCAACATTCATTTATTGAGATAGTCCAATAAACATACATAACGGCAATATTTAAAAACAGCACAATTTAGAATTTTAAACAAAAACTTTCAAAAATTCATTTTTAGGTATTGTAATATATTTTACTTTTTTACACCAATAAAAAGCATAAAAATTGTAAGAGAAAAATTGTTTGTTTGAAATTTTCTATTAGTTCAGTTTTAAAATATTATTTTCTAAATGAAGTAGTTACAAATTTCCTTACAGCATAGAAAAAGCTAAAAACAAATCCAGGCCTGAAAGCACGACACAGCTTTGTAATTATTTGGAACGTTAATTATGCTTGATAAAAAACTAAATTTTTAAGAAATCAATCTCAGTATCAAAAATAAAAATATCTAAAAATTCCAATTTCTGATATGAGGCTCCAAACACAACTTTTTCTTAACAGTTACACACATACACGCTGCAATAGCCAACCATTGTTAAGTTTCTGCAAGTCGTCCCTATTCCTTCGGATGTGGTCAAGGGGACAGCCGGGAATGCGTCAGAAGGGGTAGAAAACTCATTTGGGTTGGTATATTTCTTATAAGGTCCATCGCAAACTCGCTGTGATGTCACCACCACACAGACTCACCTGCCGTTTCAACACACCTCGCCACAGAAGCATTTCTACCGTGTTGTTTTAATTTTGTGTATTTTATTGGCACATGCAGTTATTTAGCTAATTTATTTGTCATATAACCATAAGTCCTAAAAGGATGAGTGTAAAGAGCAATGGCGAGAAAAAAGGGTAATATCTAGGGAATTAAAGCATGAGAAAATGGAAAAACGTGAGAACGGCGTGGCGTAAAAGACTTGGCAATGCGTACGATCGCACATCTTCTACGATATATAGTGTTCTGAAGCAGACGAACTGGATAACTGCAGCTAAGGACGTTAAAATTATTTCAAAACTGTTCAGCTCTGTAGATAAAAACATGAAGAATCTGCTATTTTTGTGTTTAACAGAGAAACAGCTCTTTGGCGACACTGTGACAGGGACTATAATTTGCGAGAAGTCACGAGGTATTCACACAGATTTGCTGCAGCAGAGCCTATACAGTTCGGTGTCCGCCGAAAACATCGCGGACGAAAACGTCGCGGAGAAAACAACGCAAGGCGGAAATGTCGCCGTACAAAACATTGTGGTAGAAAGAAGGTATAGAGAAAACATCGCAGTTCTAAAATATCGTGGTACAACATATCGTCGTAGAAAATAATGTGGTTCAGATACTTCGTGTTTAAAAACATCGTCGCCGAAATTGTCGTGGTAAGAAATAAAGTACCTACAAATCATCGCGTGACGATAACATCAAACACATGCATTTTCTGGATTTTAAAGTTGTAAATGCATGTTCGCATAATGATTTGGGAGCGCAAGAAGGAATACGGATTCTTTTAATTCTATATTTTATACTTTTGAATGAACTAATTACACTTTTGCTGAAAACATAAGAAGAAACCTTAAGCATTTAAAAATTGAAAATTATAGAAGTTAATAGAATTTTAAATTTACATAGTTAATTAAAAATGTCATTAATAAATTAACCTTTTTTTATAAAGTTTTACTGATATTTATTATGAAGAATACGGTCTAAAAATGCTTAGAAAAAGGAAGATAAATAACTGCATGAATTTACCTCTATAAAAATTGCTTGGTTAACTATTAAATTATTTTCTTTCACAATTGTTAATCTGAAATTGTTTTACTGAAAATTATACTTTGTTTTGTTTTCTTTTAATCTTCAAGTTTCGTTAACGTTTTCATGTATAGCTTGAAATCAATTTTTTGGATGTCGTTTTGTTAGTTACGACGAAAGTCAGTTACATAATATGTCAGTACGGGATTTGAAAAACGCATGTGTGCGATGTTATCGTCATGCGATGATTTGTAGGTACTTTATTTTTTACAACGATATTTTCGACGTTTACCTTTTTTTAAACTGCAAAGTTTTGAAGCACTTTATTTTTGAGTGCGATATTTTGTACGACGATGCTTTAGAACTGCGATGTTTTCGCTTTGCTTTGTTTTGTCCGCGACGTTTTCGTCCGCGATGTAGTATTTGCGGCGATGTTTTTGCCTGTAATCGGTAGTGGTAGTTCAACAGAGGAAGCCTTAAAGGAGCAGTTCAAAGCTAGTCGGGGATTGTGCGATAATTTCCAAAAAATGACTGGAATTTACTCACACAGTGTTACGCAATGCAGAAAAAGTCATCATTATTTTTATAATAGGGAAGGGGAATAAAGAGGCTATTGTTAGTTTGAAATATGTAAGTTAAAAACTATTTAAATCTCAAAATTATAATTTAAACTAAGAATATTCCCCAATTCATCTTCTCTATTCTAAAAAGAGTAATAAGTTTCCTGGTCTGCGTCATTTCTAGATCAATCTAATTTACATGACTTGCATAACTCTGATGATATATAAGATAAAAAATACGTAAATCAAAATTATAATTTAAACTATCAATAGCCTCTTAATTTCTCCTCTCTATTCTAAGAAAACTTACGCCTTTTTCTGCACTGCGTAAAGCTGATGACGTAGCTAATTCGGAACTTAAAATTTTGAGACCTGAAACTTTCTCTGATATGCAGCTTAAACAAAAACATCTCTAGGTGATCTTCTAAGTTAGGTAATTACGCACCTTTATTTCTACTTCTGTCATCGCTAGGATGCCGCCACGCTGCTTTCTTCTTATCGCAATACTTTCACAAATGTAAATATTCTGGTAATAGATACGATTAGAATGCCAAGTGAATTGTGACCACAAATGCCAATTGAAATAAAAATAATTATTTAATCCTCCTCAGCTGCCAAGTTTTCTATTCTTTATAAATCAAAATTCTTGCTGTTTATTACAAATTGATCAGTATACTTTCTAAATCATTAACATTGCTAGATATTTTTTCATTACAATATTTCATTACATGTACTATATGCATAAGTTAATGAGAAAGTTTTAAATCCGGAATTCTATAGAATGCCTAGGCATTATATATAATATCTAAAACTAGCCGGCATTGAATGAACCGATTCAAATTTCACACATTTCCTAGGCATTCTATAGAATGCCGAATGACTAACCGACAAAGTTGAAAATAATTTCCAATTCGTTTTCAAGAACTAAACTACTTACCAGAAGTTAATAAGTGATGTAAAAAGGCCAAAATGTCTACTAAGAAGGAACCATGGAACAAGTGTCTGCTGAATCGCTAGGATGGGATGTTCTTGTAAAAAAGATATACATTCATTTATCATGTTAAAGAATGCGTTAGTACTATACAGTACTTCGCTACGGACGCTGAGTTCCCGTACTTCATGAAAACACATTTTAGTACTGGGAACTGTCGACGTGACAGAGTGCTGAAAGAGTTTTCAACGAAAACGTTACATGTAATGCTGTTGAACTGACCACCTTTGTGCGCCCTGCCAGAAAGAAAACAAAATGGTATTAAAAAGGGCATTGTTGTAAAACTTAGATTGTTTCTGAATTTAATATCCGTTGTCAGATAGATCTTATGAATTCTCAGTCTCGGCCAGATTAAAAATAGAAATTTATTATGTTGCATCAAGACCATTTCACGATGTTTATTTTTTTCATATTTAGAATAACAGTTTTTAATGGCTCTTTTTCATTAATTTTTCAAAACAACACTTGTATTTTTGAGGAATGAACGTCTTTGAAATAATAACCTTTTAAGCTTTTTTTCCTACTTTGCCTAAAGAGCATTTGTCGTTCTATAGAATACCTAGGCATTATATACAATGCCTAGGGAACGTATGTAATAATTTTCATACTTTATACTTTACATAAAATCGTCCGTCATTGTATACAATGCCTAGGCATTCTATAATTCGTCTGCGTTTAATACTTTGCCGGTAATATATATTATATATATATATATATGCATGTGGGTTTGTGTGAGTATCTATGTCTTTGTGCATAACATAAATCTATATTTCCCTTCGAATCATTATCCTTTTCTAGATTCTTAATTCTTTTAAATTCGTTTAAGAATTTCGTATGTAATTTGTAAACTTTTATAAGAATTTACATGCACTCTATTTTGTGTTTGAACCCAGCTATTCAAAAGAGGTTTTAAAAATAGCATCCACTTCTCGTAAAAGATAATCATGAAACTTCCTGATATTTATCTTATTCATTAGCTCTTATCTTGTGCAAAATGATCAAGATTGAAATCATTGTTTGTTGAGTTAATGAAATAACAGCGATTAAGCATAAAGTTTCATGTCTTGATTTAGGAACCTGATATTACATTACATAAAATGTTTTCTGAATAATTATTATTAATGAATTTTTGAATACAAAAGTACTTTTCAGATTCTTATCAGCAGACATATGCAGAGTGCTTTCTTGGCCTGAAGCCAAAGGTATGCATTTTATATGATATTTATTATGTCAAACTAATACTTACTAACTAGCTGTATCAATAATTTCTTTATAATAAATACCTAAACTTAGATTTCGAAAAGTCTGGTTACTGAGGATGAGGAAAAGAAACGGTGCCACTGAATTTTAGTTTGAAATGCATTTAATACATTCAAGATGAGCTTCTTTATATTTGTAAATAGGCTGCAAATGAGGAAAAATATTTTTAACAACGTTTAAATTTATGACATAATCGATGGGCAAGTTACATCTCAATCAAACTAAATAAAAATATTCACTAATCATAACGGATTGTACCTTTCCTTCTTCATAAACTATTGAGCTTTCGCTGCAATGAAAATGCTTACATCGGCCTGCATGTGATTAACTAATAAGCTTAGGAATATTTTTAACTTTTAAAAACTTTAAATCATTTATTAACAGCTGTACAATATACACTGAAGTGCCACTTATTTAGGGATAGTAAGGACTATGAAAATTGTGTAGCGCTGCGCATCATGTATGCGCAAGTGAGAGCGCTGTGTGCAAGTGAATATATAGCGCGTAATGTGGTTGTTCTGAATTAATTGTTGGAATTGCCAGTATGGGTAAACTGCCTGATTTAGACGCCTTCGCTCGCGGACAAATCGTGGGTGCGCGACGCATGGGTAATTCATTTTCCAAAATCGTCAGACAGCTAGGATTTTCAAGGTCGACAGTGTCAAGACTATAACAAGAATACATGGATGGTGGACAAAAACTAGCGATCGGGAAAACTGCAAAGGACAACTAGCCTTGGCAGTGCATGGTGAGAGACAGTTTAGGCGTATTCTACTTAGCCAGCGAAACCAAACATTAGCTCAAATTATCGCCCAGTTGAATGACGGTGCAAGTCGTACAGTCAGTAAACTGACTAGGAAACGCTCTCTCTCAACCGTATGGGTTTCGGGAGCCGTCGACCTACGAGAGTACCATTGCTCAATGCTCGCCATCGGGCTGCACGTCTTGCCTAAGCAAGAGGGCGCAGAGACTGGAGTGTAGAAGACTGGAAACGAGTAGCATGGAGTGATGAGTCTGGATTCCGACTACTTAACGCCGACGGGAGGCTGAGAATATGGCATCAGGCTCATGAAGCCATGGATCCTGCATGCCAAGTTGGAACTGCACAAGGGCATGGTGGTTCAATCACGGTTTGGGATATTTTTTTTTTCGTGACACTGTTTTGGATCTTTGGTGCGTGTACCAACCTCCCTCAATAAAATATCAATAAAAGAGGTTTTAAAAATAGCATCTACTTCTCGTAAAAGATAATCATGAAACTTCCTGATATTTATCTTATTCATTAGCTCTTAGACGAGTTGCTAGGTGATCACCTCTATCCGTTTTTGCTGTTCTGTTATCCGCACGGTAATGGAGTTTTCCAGCACGACAACTGTATTTCTCACAAATCCCGATTGGCTACTGGCTGGTTGGATGAGCATTCTTCTGACATTTCTGTTATAAATTGGCCACCTAGAAGCCCAGACTTAAATCCTATTGAGCATTTTGGAGATTTTTTGGAAAAAGGCGTGAAAGGCCATCACACAGCATCAACGAACCTTACTGAATTATGGACACTTATAGCCAGTATTTGGCACGTCATTCCCGTGGAACGTTTCCAGAAACTTGTTGAATCTATGCTTCGTCGTGTGGCAGCCGCTATCAAGGCCAGAAGAGGCCCAACTCGTTACTAGATAGGTATCCCTAATTTAGTGACTCTTCAGTGTAGAATAACAGCGGACTTATAACAAAGAAGCAGTGTGCTCTACCTTATATGTGGCTATTCACTCAAAATTTCTCAAGAATCTATTGTCTTAGCGAAAATGCTACATTCAGAATGAGTTCTTTGGTACTCTAATATGGCTTTAATGTCTCTAGTTTACTAAAAATACAGTCACTTAACGGAACTATAATTTTGGCCTAACTAAATATGCCAGATTGGCATCTTCATTCTTACTTGAGTAAAAGACGAAACACCTTCGCATTTATTAATTATTGTTCATTGAACGGGAGTTGGTTTTTTCCCTTGAAAACTAGTTTCCGATCAATGACGATAATTACTTGGTTCATTAATTTTCTTTTTCAAAGATTGAATTTTGGTTATTCATGATTTAAATTCAAACACCTTTCAAAGCATTTTTCAAGATTTAAATCCAAGTCCACATAAAAAGCTTTTTTTTTTCATGATTTATATTCAAGTTCCTTTTAAAAAAATTTTTTTCGAATTAAATTTCATACTTCTGGATTCCCGTACATTCTACTAACTCTATATTAAGAGATAATGTAATCAATATTTCTTTAGTAAATAAAGTATTTTTATCTTACTTTGCAGCTATTGCGCAAGCATTAGAAAAACTTGTTTTCGATTTCAATGAAGTTAAGTTCCATATATATATTTCTCCACAATTATATTTTATGTTGTATGTTTGCTTCATAGATATGTTGTATATTAGGTTTATGTATTTATTATAAGTTTATATTGTATGTATATATTATATGTTATGTATAGTTTTATTGTGCATAAATATATGTCGTATTTATAATTACATGAGCAAAACAGGCAAGCCAATCTGTACCAAATGTACCAACCATTTTAACCATTGTAATAACGTTTAAATATGTAAAATGTTTTACTCAAAATAATTTAACTCCCAAAGCATCACTTCTGTTGCACCTGGGAGGTGTTGATCTGAAGAGGAGGGCGTGAACATAACCTGTTTACATCTGTTAGACATGAAGTATCACTGCCTTTCCTCACCTGTTACCTTTATCTTCTAAATGTAGTTACCGTTTTTTCTTACGATTAAATATACCTGAAATTGAAGAGACAATTATGTTGTCAGGAATAGATCTCCTCTTTGATCCATTAGGTTTAATTAGACCTGCTACAACAAAGACTAAAACACATCTACAAAACTTTTGACTCTTAAAAATAAATTTGAATGAACCTCTTCTTAAAATGACTTTGAAGAACAGAAGGCTTTCCCGAATAGTCTTAGAAAAGTTAACGATTATATCATCTCTAATTTGTTCTAACCAACTGTGTACATAAAATAGACATAAGGTGATTGTGTGATACTATTTGGGAAGCTTATGATGCTGCAATTTATGTAAAACATATGTCATCTTCGAATGAATATTTATCAAGACTTCTCTGCGACAAGTCTCGTGATTCGCCTTCGAAGTCAATTACCTTCCTCGTCTGGAATAGTGTAGCGCAGTTCTGTTAGTAAAACTAACGAAAAGAATATTAGAGTTCATATAACTACTTATAGATTATACTGTATTAGTTCTATTAATACTGTACTATATTAGTTCTATTAATACTAAACTGCATTAGTTCATTGATTCGTCAATAATATTAGCACGGATTCAGGAGAAACCTTTTGCAGGTATGCTTAGAAATACACCTACTTTAAGATGATTGCAAAACTTTTATATGTTATAATTCAATTTGTTTTAAAAAAATTTGTAAAAACTATCTAAAAATACAAATTTTAAAAATAAATCATAACAAGTGGGTGAATTTTATTTGGAATGAGCTTAAATTTCGAAATGCGAAAGGAAGAATCAAAAACGTTTCATAAAAAAGAGATATTAATAAATATATACCAAATTAGATGAACATTGAGAAGCTAAAATTTTGAGAGTTAATTTTTTAAAAACTAGTCATGTGGTTTTTACAAAACTTGGTAGTCTGGAATAATTTGAGTCGTAGAATATGTAAGAAAAATTGGTATGTTATTTCAGAAAACGTCCGATTTTGTGTCAAAATACCTATGTTAGAATAGTGCTATATATAAATCTAATATATATCCTAAGTCGCGCTTTCAAGACATGAAAAACGTAATTTGAATTTCGTCAATCGGCCCAGTAGAACGGGAGCTACAGGAACTGTCCCCTTTTTTTTCTTTTTCCCGCAGTGTACAGCTCAAGTTTTCCAAAGTGGATTCGAGAATCCTATTCAACTGTGGTGCAAATTATTTGCATGTGATGACAAATATGCTGAGTAATACTTTCATACAAAGAAAGAATCACTGCAATAGCTTATGTTTGGACCATCTGTGGTAATTAATGGAAAACGTATAGCCGACAAGCCTGATATTTTTGCATTTCTTTCAATTATGCGTCTCACACTGAAGGGACAATGTAATGATATCACATTGCTTGAACATTCTGTCTCTGGCTGCTCCAAAACAGATACACGTATTAGAGTCTTTAAAGTTTAAATTTACATAGAAGAGTTCTCTTAAGCTCAACCTTAATTTGTGCAAAATCACCGTTTAAGTTTTACTAAGAGTTAATTTGAAGTTAATTTCTGTACTATCTTCCTTGTCTTATCAAGATATATGCTCAGATCATATGTTTGTGCAAACTAGATGGCAAAGGAATTTGCTTGAATTAAGATATTATCTTAATCTTTCTGGAATTTGTTCCTGAGTCTGCTGCCTTGCCAGTGAACGTCTTTTGCCAAAGCTATGAAAACGCAGACGAGAATATTAGCTGAAATTAGTGAGTGTTTAAGAAATTAGTCTTTTCCATGTGGATCCAAGGTATATTGTACATTTGTATTTGGATATTCTTGTAATCATATCGTCGGCATACCTAAGAATTTGTCATAAAATGAGAAAGTCTGTTATCGTAAACTTTGACGAGAATATCTCGGTTTTAATTTTTAAGATTTTACATAATTTTGCACATGTTCAAACAACGTTTTTAAAAAAGTATTTTTAAGCCTAAACTCTTAATTTTAACTCATGTTTTAAATATCAATTAGTACTACAGGCAATAACTAGCCAAATAGTGCACGTAACATTTATTGGTAGAGGTTAGATGTTTAGGACAAATTTTAAGTCATTTTACCCTACAGAAGAGAGATATAAAATTAAATAATTTAATCCCATCCTTAATTTCATTCTCTGTTTATTTATTAAAATGGAAAATTGATTAATATAGTTCATTACGCTCATCTGGCTTTTATCTCCTGTTTTAGCTTCAAGATATGATTATAGATGATGCGAATAAAGACTGTAACCTTGGTAGTGAAGTTACCCAGTTCAGTGACTTGACAACAGCTCTTTGTTCATTGCCTAAGAACGTTACGGTAAGCATTTCATCCATATTTAGGATATCAATTATTATCAGTAACATTTTGACTAGATTATCAAATAATTCAACATCAGAGTTAATTTTATAAAATGCATAAAAAAGAAGGAACTAGAATAAATGAAATGGATTCATGCATAATTTAAAGAAAAATTGCTAAATAGATAATGCGTCCGTACAACAGACAATAATTCCTACAGTTGCTGAGTATTTTTGATAGAGTAAAACATTTTTCAGAGAAATATGAAGTGTTATGTATAAAATATAGGCTAACATAATTTCTTATTTTGTTATTTCGTAACTCAATTTTCTAAATATAAACATGGTCTGCTTTAATTAAGACAACAATAACACGCTGAACAAATACTAATTCAGAAGTCAAACAACAAAAATCAGCGTTATATTTTCAAAATTTTCACAGGACTAGTTTTGATGGTTTTACCAAACCGCCATCCTCAGCTGCAAAACCGCAAATGAATAAGACAGGATATAATGATCAGATAAGATAAGAAAGCCTGGACAGAAAATAAGCTAGTGGCGCCATCTGTAGATGAAACCAGAACTAAAACATAATTCTATTAAAGCCCAAAGGCAAAGATGGATTGGAATTAGGATCGTTAACTAGAACAGAAAGATATTTTTTGAATGTGAAATGCCTCTAGAAAATCCAGTTCTCCAATGGAAGATGTTTTTTGAATAATTTTGGCAGTAAAAAGATTGAAAGGGTGATTTTCGGACCAACAATGTTGGACAAAAGAAGACTTCTGTGTTTCCTTTTTTCTAACATATGCCTCATGTTCCTTGACGCGAAATTTTAAGACTCTCTTAGTTTGGCCAATGTAAATTAAACCACACTGGCAAGAAATCCAATAAATACCCAGGAATTCATATCCGGAATGGGTCTTTGAGTATGGAACTCGGAATTTTATTGATGGGAGAATAAACGACCGGAAAGTTAAATTTCTGCAACTTTATAGCTAATTGATGGAAAGAAGGGAATGACAACATAATTTTTATAATCTCCTAAAATAAGAGTGTGCCTTTTAGTGTGTTGAGATGAGAATTTTTTAACTGCTTGATTAATAATGTTGGGTGAAAAGCCCCCTGTTAATAGCTATTGCTTTTAAATATCTTAGTTCTTCATCAAGGGTTGGAGTTGTACAGTAAAGCCGACACTTGGGCTTGAACTTAAGATTAAACTAAACTAATCTTAGCTAAAGAGATATAGCCGAAGCTATCAAAAGCTTAACAGAGTTGGCCCCTTAACGCTAATTGACTGCGAAGCTATCAAGGGCCTAAAGTGCGGCCGACCGTAATAACAGCTTACAAGAGGGTAGCCTAAAAAGTCGGACGCGTGCAGCCAGAATATCTGGTATCTCTCTCTCTAAGACTGTAGAACTTCGTACCATCAAAATTTCTGTTAATATTTATATGAATTATGTCAATGTATATCAAGTATATGTCAACATCAAAATCAAATTTTTATTGTAATATAAAATTTTAAATAAACGTGGTCCCACTGAGTGAGCAATAAAACTGAAAGTTTTCTTGGCGACACAGCTGCTCACCCAGTGGTCTCCGCTCTCATATAGAACTTCGTGGTTATATACCGCTCTTCCTCATTAGCATTCAGACTTTATTCTGAAACTACGTTCTGGAAACTACTTCCCTTCTTCCCATTTCCTTTCAATATACTGCGAAGTCATTCTTTGTATATATGGCAATATACTCATGCGCTCTTTTATAATATAGACTAACAAATAAAAACTACGTCTGGAAACTACGTTCTTCTTCTACGTGGTTATATACCGCTCTTCCTCATTAGCATTCAGACTTTATTCTGAAACTACGTTCTGTCCGGAAGTGATAAGTTGGAATTAAGATTTGATAGGAAAGGAAGTTTAAAATTTAACTGTTAATAAAATTAGCATAATCCTTACACTCTTTTCTTATAGCTATGTGTGTGGAACCTCAAGAACTGGAGGTTTCACACACATAGCTATAAGAAAAATAATAGCTTTAGCTTTAGCGAATAATAGCTTTAGCTCAGGAAACGCAAACTCAAGAAGGGTTTCTCAAAATTAGAATATACAGATGGCTCTTGTCTTAGATCGCACACAAAGCCTTAACCTGGGCTGTAACTCAAGTGTACTAAGAAATCAAATTTAACTAATTCTTGCATGAAAGGATTCAGCCGAAGCTATCAAAATTCTAAAGGAGTTGGCCCCCTAAATGTTAACTAAACGGCGAAGCTATCAAGTTTTAGAATCACGTCTGAATACATAATGAGGAAGAGCGGTATTTAACCGCGAAGTTCTTGGTCGTAGGGAGAGAAGAATCAGAGTTTCTGATTTACGCCCGTCTGACTTTTGGCCACACTCTCAAAGCTGTTATTACACTCAGGCCCTTGATAGCTTCGAAGTGATCTGATGTTTAAGAGGCCAACTGCATTAGAAACTTGATAGCTTCGGCTATATTTCTTTAGTTAATCTTAGTTTCAGTTTAATTCATAGTCTCTTAAGTTGAAGCCCAAGTGTCGGCTTTGATTCTACACTCCAAGACGGAGTTTTGTTAAATCTTATTGGAATAATAAATAGTTACCCTTCTATCTTGTTGTTCTTGTCATACGAACATAAGCGATTATTCGCTATCTAATTCTTAAGATTCGTCACTTTCTACAGTAACTGAGATTTACAAAGTGAAAGTCTTACAAGCTGAATATACAAAGCATTTTCGACCATGCATTGCTATGTGATTTCTCACCGTCTAGGTGTATTCTAGCTCTCCTGAAATTTTGTCACCGCTCTACTGATACAAATTGTATATTTCTAGAACTTACCTTTTTCATTTTTGTGACGCCATATGTAGAAATTGCAACACAGAAATTGTATATTTCTAGAACTTACCTTTTTCATGTTTTGTGACGCCATATGTAGAAATTGCAACACAGAAATTGTATATTTCTAGAACTTACCTTTTTCATGTTTTGCGACGCCATATGTAGAAATTGCAACACAGAAATTGTATATTTCTAGAACTTACCTTTTTCATGTTTTGTGACGCCATATGTAGAAATTGCAACACAGAAATTCCGCTGATCGTGTTTTTTGATCCAACGTTGACGATTAAATAAATAACATTGGAAATCGTATAAATCATTTAAAATTGAAACGTGATTTTATATTTCAGGAAAACAAAATTCAACATTTTAAAATTACCATAATACCTCCAAATTTACGAATTTCTTAGTGGGATGTCATGTAACTTCAAATGCTTGCCTGCTTAGAAAATTGTTTCCGGAATTTGGAAAACTCTCTGTGCATAAAATGAAGCTTCATAACTTCATGTACTGACATAGATCAACACTTCTCAGCAAATCTTATGAGATCTTATTAAACATCAGCTTTCTTCCACGTAAATTTCCCCTTCAACCTTCATTCGTTCTCATCATCTTTCTTCGTTTCCAGTACACATTCAGTTACTATTTCTTCGTCGTCTTGAAAGATTGTGACGGTAACAGATTATCAAACCTAAACCTTTTCTTCACTAGCATCAACCTTCTCCGAACATTTAATTACATAAAAAATGTCGGACAATACAGACGTTTTATTTTGAAATCCAGAGAATTTTCTTCATTTGTTTCATCATTTACGAACGTGAGGAATTTACGGACGCAGCGACGTCTCTAGCTTGTTAATATGTAATATACTTTACATATTAACAAGCTAGAGACAAAGTATTTCATATGACGGCTTTCAGTGTGAACTGTTGCTGAAAATCATGTCACTACCTTCAAAGCTACATTGAAGCATGAAAGACAATCAGTAGCTAATTTTTATACTCTAGATAATCCCTTGGTTCACTGGTTGAATAATGTCAATTACAGTGGCATGAAATATGTAACATATGTGTTCATCTTGGGCATGGCCGTGGCAATTTTTCTTTCTCCCTTAAAGATTCTTCCCATTTCCTTTCAATATACTTCCGTTCTTCCCATTTCCTTTCAATATACTTCCCTTCTTCCCATTTCCTTTCAATATACTGCGAAGTCTTTCTTTGTATATATGGCAATATACTCATGCGCTGGTAATCCATTATTTTTATCCATATTTCACTGAGCTATTAACTCATTCGCGGACACTTCACAGGAACTGTTTTGTTCACCCTACACATCTAATTGCAAATTCCATACCTTTCTTTAAACCAGTTAATGGAAAACCCAGTCCAACGAAAAACCAAAATTCATTTTGAATTGCATTCAAAACGAATTGCACGGTAAATTGCACGGCTGTTCATTCAATTCCTTCGCTTTTGCTTGTACCATCTGTCCAGAAATATAATCTCCCTTTAATCGTTTAAGGCTAACCAGTGGTATAACACACGATCTATTTCTTATTAGGATTGATTTCATACCGATTCATCCGTAAAAATTAATTACCAAACTGCATGCCTGGATGGATGACAAGAAATAACATAATGTAATACTGCATGAAAAATGGAAATATTAACCTACAAATGTTCATAATTTTGCAAGTCCTAACATTCTGTTTTATGTGGTAAAATTTGGTCAAAATATGCTATAAAAACCCGAATTTTGATTTTGTGTTCTTTCATATACCTTTATGAATTCAAATTTCAGAGATAAATATACTAGGAGTGCTATATCTGTTATTCACCATCAATTCCTCATTATTAGTTTTGCTGAAATAATTGCTTTGCCTTTTTATTTTCACAGCTACCATGTCTCTATAGTATCGGAACGTCGTTCAGGAACAGACAGGTAAGCATAGGCTATACTTTACTTCTGTAATGAAATTATTTCTCTTCTACCATGGTCCCTTTGAAATAAAGTAGGAATACACTGTACATACTTATCAGTCTTCTAGAAAAATACATGAAATCTATAGAGTCATAACCGAATATTTAAATTTTGACAAATATAATTCCAATTAGTGGTATTTTGGAAGATAGGCGTCAGCTCCTACGCAAAAGGCCGCTGGTTATTTTTGTACTACTTAACAAAGCCAGCTCCAGAATCTTAAGTACCTTTTCTTTCAGAAAGATGTTTAAAAACTACGGACAGTCATTAATGTTGCACATGAATCATATGGCGAAGCTCGGAAAGATTTATTGCAAGCATATTACTATTTTTCAAATGGGAAGGGAAAAAAACCAAATTAAATAGTGGCTTTGTCAGGACTTGTGTTTCTCTTGATTTGCTTTGCAAACATGAATGGTCCTGAATCGGAACAGGGAGCTTACTCAAGCTATGTTCAAGAAGGTGTGAAGTAGACAACACAAGCAGGAAGGGTATACGAAACCCTTTATTTTCAATCTTTTACAGGATCTTCCGAACTTCGGAATACAGAGACCAATCACTTGTGGTCTGAACGTAAGAATATAAAAAAAACTCTAACTAAAAGCTAACATTGAATTAGTATTCAAATGCCCTAGCACTAAGACTGGCCTTTATTTAAAAAGGTACGTATGTACGCCGAGCTGCTTAAACTACAATACGTTTGCAAATATTAAGAGGGATAAACCTCTGGCCTTAAAGGTAACCAGCAACCGAGTGAAAACTCGTAAAACTACAGTGGCAAGCGGGTTGCTTCCTAAAACTTCTTCTCTCTCTCGCTGGGCAAAAATCCACAACTCAAGTACTTGGGCGTTAGCAAGACAATTTGCATAAACAAGTTAAAGCATTTAATTCTAGCCGGTAGTAGAAAATAAGAAGTGATAGTACAGTTTTAAAGTAAAATAAACGTTAGTAAAACTTAGGATCTTTACGGCTTAAGGGGCTAAAATGTGTGGGTGTATATATTAATGCTTCACTTTTTATTTCTTATTTTATTCTGGAATGGTTTCAGTATTGTATCAATTTTTGTAATTTTTAGTTGTTACAAACGTTGTGTATGACGATCTCTGTGAAATAAAATGGTTAGGGCCTTCATAATTGCAAACTTTCATTTAAGATGCGATTTTTCCTATTCTTTTAATAATTTTATTGTATATATATGTATATAATTTATGACTATAAATATAATAATTTATGATAAGATTATTGAATATATTATCTCCGTTGAAAATAAAGTAGTTAAATTAGAAGTCTGTTGAAGTGAATTTACTCATTAGCATATTTAAAACTGAATTATAAAAATGGAATAATTAAAAACAAAAGTGCAACCAACATGCTAAGTAATTATCGCCCTGTATATACTTTAAAATAATTTCATATATAGCATTATTAATTTTGTTATTTTCCAGAATGTAAACGCAAATTTTTTACAAATCAAATCAAACCAGAGAACTAATTTTCTGAGATTATATTAGGTGAAATTATATTTGACTCTATATAAATACTGGCCTAACCCTTCCCCGTGTACTGGAGAATAATCATTCCGTTTCGAATTTCAGTCTCAGAAGATAAGCAGTTACAGCAGTGCAAAAACAACTAACAATTTATTCGCATTTAGCTTAAAATTACATAAGTAAAAAATTTAACACGATTAACTTTTCTTCTTACAAGCTAGACAGACAATAATGAATCAAACTATTTACAAAACAAAATTTAAATTCAAGATTTAACAACCTAACAAGATTTAAAGCTAGCTCTCGGCGAGCTAGAAGTGAAGGTGAAGCTGCCAGATGCCTCCCTTAACCTGAAACTTTTGGTCGTTATTTAAACTCACCTCAGTTACACTTTTTGGCGGAGCAGATCAAAATAAGTGAAATGCGGAAGGAATTCAGCCGAAGAAACAACGTATTAAGTAAAATAAATGTTAAAAGTATATCTAGGTAGCTTAGCTCCTTATAAACGAAACGCTTAAGCTGTATACACGTTTACTATAAAACTAAACAACTATTTGTGTTAATTCATATAAAATGCCTAAACGTTTATATTTATTTCATCTATATCTGCGCCTAAAGAGTGATAGTCAATACAGTAGTAGCTTTCTGTAGCGGTCGTGGAAATTACTCCGTTATATTTCCTGCATCAAACTGGATGAGACAAAAAAAGGGAGGGGAGGGCGACTTTTCAGAATGTAAGATTTCTGTTTTTGTTTTCTCAGTTGCTAAATTATTTTCCTTTTATTATACTTTCTACTTTTGGCAAAGATCCAGCATATTAGAAATAAATAAAACGGATAAATGAGCTGCTAGTTGTTAAGTTCTCGGAAAGCGTTAGGCATACAAGCTAGCCTCACTTTAGATTTTCTGTTCTTGCAAATTGTATTGTCGGCCCAAGTTTCTGCTGCCGTAAGCCCTTAGTCAATTAATGAAGATCAAGCCTAATTTCGGTACTTTTATACTCTGCACTTGATTTAACTTACACGTGTATGTGTTTATCCGGAAGCCAAGAGAGTTGTGTTCCTATTAAAGTCTTTAATTGTGTGTAACCGTCAGGTCGACATGTAAATAAATACTTTTATGTAACCCTTTGACTTGAAATGTGATACTTCTAGCTAAGACGTTAGATAGGGCATGATATGTATCTCATGATAGTAGCATTGGAGCCATAAAAAGGTTTTCATGAGAAGATGACGCATACTTTAATTTTGCGTCACTTTTATAACACTACGTATATGCCACATAAACATGGAATTAAAATATATATTCAGCAGCTAGTCTTGAATACTGCAGTACGCTGTCTGTTTCGTTTTATCTTCTGATGACTGTAAAATTAAAGGAGGTTCTAAAAGCCTAAGTCGACATTTCCTACATAGATGCATAAGAACACAGAAGAAATTAAGCTAAAAATAGTTAAACTTTCCAACAACAAAAAATTAATTTTTTTCAGACATGGAGCCCCAACCATATAACCCTTGAGAGTGATAAAAATACTTTGACTGGAATCCTAACACCTGACATTTCAAAAACATGAGATTTATAATAAAGAAAGGAAAGAAGAATTGCCAACAACGGCTTAGCTAAGGAGTCTCTCATTGAATCTTGCCCGAATTTCCTTTAAGAATTACTTATTTGTAATAGGAAAAGTGTTTTACGATAATTCTGATATGTACAGTCGAAACATCTGTTGTGAAAAAAATTTTAATCTCTATATAATTAAGTAACATATCTTCATATTTAAATCTTTTAGAAATCACTCTTTGAGGAATCCAACGACGCAGGAGAATCTAATTCATCCGAAGTAAGTACTTTTATTTAGTCAATATGAATTTAGAGTTCTAAAGTTGTTGAGGCATTCACTTCTTACATGTTTTAAAGTTACGTCTCTACAAATGTGCCATATTTCAAGACAAATAGTTAATTTTTACTGTTCATTAAAATTTATTCAAATAATCACGATATGCCCAATTATACTCGTATGTAGTGCAATTAATTGAAAGAAGCCTTACATGTCAATTTAATGTTAACGCTAAATTACCACGAAATACACGAATAAATTATCCCTAGGAAGTAATTCTGTGAGATGAGCAGACTTCTGTAACATATCCGTTATTAAAACACAATCCATCTCTGATTTGTAGTGAACTACATGTATTGTTGATGCTTAATACCTCAGCAGAACTTGCAGAAATCACAAACGCATAATACTACATGATCCCGAAAAATCAAGTAGATCTGAAATTTTGCTGAAAATGTGCAGTAAATAATATACTGTTTCAAACATTTTCTAACGGCATCTCTTGTATTTGAAATCAATTAATGGATGTCGTATGACAGAGGTGAGTTGTTGCGTTTCTGAAGATACAATTCATGATCATGCCTACTAAACAAATGTGTTATTTTTAGACACAAATCATAGGATATATCGGATTATCTGGATTTGTAGCGTTTCTGAGTCTCACCTACACACTCCCTAGGGAAAGTAAGGTGTTTAAAGAAAAATGCTGACTTAATATCACCCAAACCCTTCCTGATTTCAAGCGAAATAATTCGTTTAAAAGCCTAGATCCTTGTACAATTTCAACATTCATAAAAGTAAAGAATTCTTAAGTAGACAAATAACTCTTTATAGGTCTGTTGATAACTGAATACAATTATTCTTTACTGTTTCGCAGATAGTTAATATTTTACATAACTTAAACCATGCTAAATACGTAGAAAGCACGTTAAACTCTTCAAAATTAGAAACATTTGGAATGAAACACTTCTTCATTTCCTTCGGCATAACTCCGTCTACCAATACTCCACTTAAATGATACTGTAATGAATTAAAGTAGGTTTAACCATTGAAATCTATAAATCGCATCGTACTGCCGTTACCTACTCTCTGGTTCTAAAACATATAAAATTATCTTTTCGAGAGCCATAATTCCATTTCGTCCTTACCATAACTTCCTGAAACTTCGCAGCATGATTTGTAACAAAAACGAGGCTTAGAAAACATTTATGCGAATGTAATTCGCAAGGCTGTCCACGAATAAGTACTGTTGTTTTGCAGCTCCATTCATAACAAAACTATGTGTACGTAACGTAGCACATAGCTCCAGTCTTTGAAGAGACCGTCTTTACTGTCTGCTTTTTCTTATTACAAAGCTAGCACTAGATGAAAATCAGAGCTATTTGATCTAAGTGGATTACTGCATAATATAATTTTTCTAAAGCACCAGTTTCTATGTTTATTCGCTTCAGATATAACACATACTCGGAATCTCGGAGATTGACAAAAAGGGTAATTCTAAAAATAAACTTATTATTCTCTCCTTAAACACTTCATCCCATCAAGTTTTAATCTGCACAATTCCTGTAGTAATATTTTAGCACACATTATCGAAGTTACTCATTATCCCATAGGTTCGAAAGTTTAGCAATTTCTGATAACTTGGTTCTTTTAAGGAACTTTGTTTAGCATCTGTTCATTCTGGAAAGTGAAATACATTATTAGGGGCTCCCAAATAATGCCCAACATCTTCATATTCTTATGAATGATTATTTTGAGCAAACATACTCCGCAACAATGTCTAAAATAACTGAAATAGTCTATATCCACTTCCTTAAACAGAATACGCTGCTTTCCGTCCTTTACGACAACTGTTGAACTAATCGTTTACATTGCTCCTTCATTTCGTGTTCCTGAAATTAGATCATCTACATAAAAATCATGAAAAGGAAACTTTGATATCGAAGAGAATATGGTTTATTCATCTAACGCAAGTTGTTTCAAAACTCGAGCATACAAAAATTGCGCATCTTCATACGTTACTGTTATTTGTCTAAATGTTCTCAAGAGATCCTAAGAACTATTCATTTTTTTGCCACCTTGTATCTTCCAGGGGAACTCCAGTAAAGAACGTCTCCGTCGACACATACCACAACTTTATAAGTTCTGAGCAGTAGAAGTAGAGGAAATAATTCTTAATGAACTATCTGCCCAGTTACCCAGTTATCAAAAGGTTCTTCTAAGAAACGTTCTGATGTTGTTTAAACTGAAGTATCAAAAACAATGCGCAGCTTAGAAGTCGAATTAGATTCCCTCAAAACGACATGGTCCGAGTCTCATGAAATCCTTGCCTTATTTACATAACTGAAGCCTTTTTAAGCATATAGCTTCTTCAGTCGTCAGACAGACGTACCTTCAGTTTGGAAGTTGAAAAGGTATGCAATATTTCTAAATGAGATTTGACTAGGTATACAATATTTCTAATTTTCACCAGTGTAGAACTGGAGTAACTTTCGAGCTCCCTCTGATTTTTCTCTCTAATGGTTTCATGTCAAATGCAGGCACAGCACCTAAAAAAGAAAAAAATAATAAATAGAAAATTGTTCTTCTCCTCTGTATATTGTTTCATAAATCTTAGATTTTTATCTCTTATGAAGTATTTACACTATCCAAAATAATTCAACATCGTACAGATGAGAGGCTACCGGTTTGCTTTCTCCGATATCAATCGTTTTCCTTTTTAAAAGTGGTAGAAAAATGTCTATTATTTAAGGTACCTTTCTGTATATCAATAGACTCACTTCTGAAGAACGTCGATTTAATAACTCATTACATTCGTCAATGCATTTCTTATTTAATGTAAAATGGGACAATCCTCCCATAATCCTATTAATTATAAATACTGATGATGTGGACTCTTGCTAAAAAGTGTTGAAAGAAAGTGATTTGCGATATCTTCTTGTTCTTATATCCGAGGATCCCAGATAGGAAATAAATACCTTGACATTTCTTCTAGGTAAACCTAAACTTTTTATAAACGTGTATGTTTTTAAACTGACTTTACATAAAGGTTAAATTAGTGTTCTACACACTGATATTCTCGAAATAAATTTAATAATTTAATAACAGCTTCGCATGATAATAATACACTTTAAAAATTAAAATCCACAAAATAGGTTAATTGATTGTGCAGGAACATTTGATTTGGAATTGTCACATAACACAGCAGACTGAACATTAATTGTACTAGACGTTAATCCTGAAGAAAAGGGTTTAGCTATCGATACCTTGCTTGAAATACTTGTAACATTTTACGCATTTCTAGTTCATTATTAACTGTATCTAAACGCAACAATTATGGCTTTTGAAACAGTTTTTACACTAATGGATACTTCTGCAGTCTGAAGCTCTATCATTTGAAATTAAAACTATGTTTTTGATAAAATTAACACGATTATGAGCATTCAGATTCAGAAACATAATATATTCATTTTGTCTTTTAATATCCTGTTTACCAGCTTGAAGAGTTCTAATATGAGATTTAAGAAATTCCAGCAAATCAATACGCTTTGGACCTTCTCTCTTTAATGTTCTATCCCACTATCCTCTTGTAAAAAAATATATTCTAAATATTGTCCGCTAATTGTTCAATTCTAAAACCCAAAGTTTCAAAGGAACAAATACATTCTGTTTCAATATCTACCAAAACGAAATAGCTAAGCTCGATTTTGCGCTTGTAAATTTGATAAAAATAAGAAAGGTCACTGAATAATAACATTATTCAGTACTACCAATTAGATTTTCACTTAGCTAAAGTAAATCTAAGTACACATTTTCAGAAACATTACCATTAAATGTGGGCAAAGCAGAAGCTAAGGAAGTAGTCATTATAGTAGTTGATTTAATTTTTGATTTTCTCATAGATGAACTACAGTATTACTTATCTTTTTTATATTCACCTTACAACTTATCTTATTTATATTTATTTACCTTACAACATTCAATTTCAAACACATTAAGATACACAGCATTTTTCATAAATACTTAATGCTAAATTTTGTAACATGCATAAATTCATCTATCAAACATGCATAATTTTGACAATTATCACTGTAAGGATAACACATTTTTTGACAATTTCTTTATCAATAATAATATGCTTCAACATATTTCACCGCATGTAATAAATAATATAGAAGAAGAGAAAGAACGTGTACAGGGTTCACTTACGAGGCGAAGGCATCTCAAAAAGATAATGAGGCTGGAAAGAAGAATTATTAACAGCAGCAATATTCTACGATTCTGGAGAAATCTAGCGTTGTACCTTCAAGCCAAAACGTTCCATGGTGTTTTCAGGCAGCAATTAAGGAAGAAGCAAAAAAATGGCGTATCACATCGGCAGGAGAGGAACAACCAAAAGGCCGTCCTACACCTCTGAGCCCCAGCAGCAGAAGAGAGCGAGAAACCGGTTGTTGCATTCTTTTTGCCTTGTCATCCTGCGGTTGCGATTGCGATTAACACACCTGACGCTTGAATAATCTGGAAGCTTGCCTGCACAGAAGGGCAATATATTCCATTTCTGATTTATAAGCAATTATATGTAGACTTGGTAATGCCTAATAGCTTACTAGGACTTGTAGAAATCTCAAATCATAATATTTAACTTCGATTGCCTGCATGAATTCTAGAAATTTGTTTTCATCTGTACCGCTCTTCAGCTTGGTGACATTACATAAAATTTACATAGTATTCAAATATATTTTAAATTTTGAGGTTTCAAAAATGAATTAAATAAATGCATTTCGTTTACTTAAATAAGGCAATCACTAATTCAGAAGTCAAACAACAAAAATCAGCGTTATATTTACAAAATTTTCACAGGACTAGTTTCGATGGTTTTACCGAACCATCATCTTCAGCTGCAAAACCGCAAATGAACAAGATAGGAAATAATGATTAGATAAGATAAGAAAGCCTGGACAAGAATAAGCAAGTGGCGCCATCTGTTGGCGAAACCAGAACTAAAACATAATTTCTCTAAAAGCCGAAGGCAAATTTGGATTGGAATTAGGATCGTTAACTAGAACAGAAAGATTTTTATGAATGTGAAATGCCTCTAGAAAATCCAGTTCTCCAATGGAAGAGGTTTTTTGAATAATTTTGGCAGAAGAAAAATTGAAAGTGTGATTTTCGGACCAACAATGTTCAGCAACAGAAGACTTCTGTGTTTCCTTTTTTCTAACATATGCCTCATGTTCTTTCACGCGAAATTTTAAGGCTCTCTTAGTTTGGCCAATGTAAATTAAACCACACTGGGAAGGAATCCTATAAATACCCTAGGAATTCATATCCGGAATGGGGTCCTTGAGTATAGAAGTTGGAATTTTATTGATGGGAGAATAAACAACCCGAAAGTTAAATTTCTGCAAAATATCTGCAACTTTATAGCTAATTGATGGAAAGAAGGGAATGACAACAGAATTTTTATAATCTCCTAAAATAAGAGTGTGGCTTTTAGTGAGTTGAGATGAGAATTTTTTAAATGCTTGATTAATAATTTTGGGTGAAAAATAATTTAAATAAAGATGATTAACTAAATAAAGATGATTTAAATAAAGTTCTTTCAACAATGAATTCTATTGATCCTGCTATTCAGTTCACTTTTGAACTTGAGACTTGCAATTCTCTTCCGTTTCTCGACATTCTGGTCACACGTAACACATCCAACTTCAGTACTACCGTTTACCGTAAACCTTCATCGGTTTGCCTTCCACCACACTTTAAATCATGTCATCCGACTAAACAAAAGTTAGCTTCATTTTATTCCTATGTTTTCCGTGCTCTTCAAGTTTGCTCCTCCAAACGAGCCCTGATAAAGAACTAATTATTTAAAAGCAATAGCTATTGACAGGGGCTTTTCACCCAACATTATTAATCAAGCAGTTAAAAAATTCTCATCTCAACACACTAAAAGGCACACTCTTATTTTAGGAGATTATAAAAATTCTGTTGTCATTCCCTTCTTTCCATCAATTAGCTAAAGTTGCACATATTTTGCAGAAATTTAACTTTCGGGTTGTTTTATTCTCCCATCAATAAAATTCCAACTTCTATACTCAAGGACCCCCATTCCGGATATGAATTCCTGGGGTATTTATAGGATTCCTTGCCAGTGTGGTTTTAATTTACATTGGCCAAACTAAGAGAGCCTTAAAATTTCGCGTCAAAGAACATGAGGCATATGTTAGAAAAAAGGAAACACAGAAGTCTTCTGTTGCTCAACATTGTTGGTCCGAAAATCACACTTTCAATTTTTCTGCTGCCAAAATTATTCAAAAAACCTCTTCTATTGGAGAACCGGATTTTCTAGAGGCATTTCACATTCATAAAAATCTTTCTGTTCTAGTTAACGATCCTAATTCCAATCCAAATTTGCCTTCGGCTTTTAGAGAAATTATGTTTTAGTTCTGGTTTCGCCAACAGATGGCGCCACTTGCTTATTCTTGTCCAGGCTTTCTTATCTTATCTAATCATTATTTCCTATCTTGTTCATTTGCGGTTTTGCAGCTGAAGATGATGGTTCGGTAAAACCATCGAAACTAGTCCTGTGAAAATTTTGTAAATATAACGCTGATTTTTGTTGTTTGACTTCTGAATTAGTATTTATTCGGCGTGTTATTGTGCCTTAAAGGCAATCACTATTAACTTCGGGAATGTTAAAAAGAGTTGTTGTGAAATGTTTATTAATATAAATCATACAAATTTATTATTTATGGCATGCAACATATTTTTCGAAGTTCTCGTATGAAATCAATTCAAGAAAGTCCTCATAATCAGGCCATGCCTGTTCCTATCGTATATGACAAGTCTCCTTGTTTCTGGTATATCGGGAACAATTTGTTTAAGCCAACGAGGTTCCTTCCTCGAATTCAGCCTTGACTAATACCTCCTCTCAATAAACTCGGTTCAGCCTGACACTAATACTTGCTCATCTTTCATAGAAATACCATATTACTTCGAAATAAAACCTCAAAATTTATTCAAATTATTTATGACGGAAAATTAGGATGCGTCTTAAATCTTTAAGTGTAAATTTTAATAACTTACTTCTGACTATTTCCCACTGACCAATGATTGGGTATCAAATAACCAAGCTCACCAGGGCTGAACACTCGTAGTTCGGCCTTTGGTTCAAATCCTGGCGAACGAACTGCCTGTATGACGTTTCGTGGTTTTCGGCCATGCGTGTCGTGTATATGAACCAGTTTCCTTAAACACCCTCCACGAATGCATCCTTCCTTTTAAGCAGTCAGTCCTTGAGTGCTTTGCCGTACTCATATAGACTAACCAAACATTGTAACATCAAAATGATTTTACGGTAAATATTTCTCTATACCTGATAGAAAATCATTTTCGTTTTTATTATTTTCCAATTTATAATCGCCCCGCCGCTGAAATTCGAAGTAATACAGTGTTATTGAGAGCAATGTAACAGCACAATTAATTTATGTTTCATGGAAAAGGTATTTTCAAAAATGTTTTAAATGTAAAATTGATGCAATTATTGTAGATTTAGATATAATTAAATAACATTTATATACATTTCAAATTTTTTAGACTACATCGAAAGCAAAAGAGAATAGGGAATTATCATTCAATACGGTATATTTCCAAGTAAGTATATTTATTTAATCACTCTGAATATATGATTATTAACGTAGTTCCGTCATTCATTTCTTATTTGCTTTAACGATATCTCTACACATGGGTCTCATTTCAAGTTCACTAGTTTATATTTACTGAACATTACAATATCCAATTTAGAAGTTATGTACCTTAATCTATTACGATTGCCAACAATATAGTAGTGCCGCATGGGGTCCCTAAAATACTGCCGTGCCAAAAATACCTTTGACTGGTTTCCTGTAGGGGAAGAGAGATGGGAGATCTATCGCAAAAGACCAGATGCCATCTGCAAAATATCTAATAGAAAAAAAGGAAGAAAATTTAAATCATTAAATTACTCGATTAAAAGTGTTTTTACTCTCACTACTCATAAACACATTTTGCTAAGCTTTTAAAAGAAATCGTATTTGAATTTAACTCTAAAAAGTAAGAAACCTGACAAACTCATTTAGTTCCTTACTCAGGAAAGCAAAAGAACAAACCGTGCTCAATGAAAAACTCACTTCCTGTTGTGATTATATTAGTGATTAAATATAAGCAATTAGTGGAAGACTGCTTCGCTTGTTATATCATGCTACTGAAAGAAAATATTATTCTGAATAGATTGCCATTTTATTTAAAGGTAATATTGAAATATTCAACTAATAAAGTTTATAGACGAAAAGGAAACATGACAAGTTTGAGTTTTAAAACATGGCAAAATATTGAATATTCAACTAATAAAGTTTATAGACGAAAAGGAAACATGACAAGTTTGAGTTTTAAAACATGGCAAAATATAAATATACGTTGACAATGTTTTGCAGATAGTTATAATATCATTCGACACAATCTGGTGAAAGTCCTCTTATTCTGGCAGAATATTTTGTTCCTTGAACACAGAACATTCTCTTTCCCTGTATAAGCAAAACTCATTTCTTATTATCTTAAATAGCACAAACCGTTTTTATAAAACCAGTTTTAATTTAATGTAGTATACCTAATTTTAAAAAATATCTTTTATAGCCTTTGATGATACCGAAGAAAAATGTCAGATAGACTTGATAGCATTTCAATTAAATGCTAAAAATTATTTGCAAAACGGCGATTGAAATTATTTAACAGTTTTCGCTTAGTTGTTCTTCTCTGTGCGAATAAATGAATTTTGATTAACATATGATTCATAAAAAATTTTTGTTTAATTTATTTCATTATTATGAGGATTGAATCATATTATCAGGATTTCAATTCATATCTTGACACAGTTACACTTCTGCAAAAAGGCTGCAAAAAATAATTAAAAATAAACATTCTTATTATAATGCGCGTTAAAAAACTAAGTGATTCGCGTTTGAAATGCTGAATGTAATATTTTGTTTATTTTCAGCCCCATTCTCAGGATGTACAGTGTTTTCTAGTAGAGTATTTTATAATATTTATTATTTATTTCTTCGAATTTTAAAATGAAGTATAACTTTCTGCTGAAGCATTTCATGGCAAAATGCGTGGTAAACTTCCAGTACTTGATTTTTTTAATTGTCTCTGCATTGGGACATAATAGTAAGATGGCTCCTTCGGTCCATAAGTCCAACTCCAGGTAGACTTACTTATCCTAAGAACCCTGACGCTTTGTTTGAGCCCAAGCTGCCAAGATTCAGATCCGATCCAGTATATTAAACGACTTTTATCTTCTCTATTAGGCACATAGCGAGTCAAGAAAGTGGTCCGCCAGCCCTATTCGCTTACGGTATGAGGCAGTAAATTAAGGTGTCATACACCTTCTGCGAATCCTGGTGTTTTGTTTAGACTCTAGAAACGAGCCTATCTGAGTACATTACCTGGCGCAGCGCAGTTTGCGCTTAAGTGAAAATGGAGTTAAAGCAATTTTCAAACCTTCGGCGACAGTTTGCATTTTGAACAAAAAGGCTTGGATTTATTTGTTGTGAAACACGTCCTTGTCATGATATAAGCAGATTATTTGTCCCAATCAAGGTTTCACATGTAACCATATAACTCAACTGTTCTATCTTACCAACATGGTTCTGCACTGCCAATGTTTCCAAACAATCCGTGCCACCCAAAACAATAGGACGGTTATTCTGTGATAGATATCACAAAAGGCACACTTTCATGTGTGCCATGATGTTCAGTGTTTCACTGAATATGAAGAACGTAATTGAAGTGTATGTTTCGATAGATGTTACTTCCACGGTGACTAGGTAACACTTTGTAAAATTTCATATAGAATGCTATACAAATATTTCCCACAAACATTCTGAGCAAAGAAATATATTTAATTATTCGCATACAATTTCCAAGCATCAACTATTCACGATGTGAAAAATGTGCTGGGTCAAGTTTTTTCTAGTATGTCTTGAAACTATAGGAATAATAATCATCCTCCTAATAAATCAACTTTTCCTCTATTTCTCATGTCTAATATTTTTAAACTACATACAGTGTCTATATAACATTCCAGTGATACTTCCTGTTAAACAACTTTAATGATTTAGGATCAGAATGTTTATTTCCCCTCCAAATAGCCATGTAGATCATCGTCCGAATGACCACGATTAAGTGACGTACTGTTTATTTAATCTCACCAAAAGTACTTTCTTTTAATTCTTGTATAATCTTGCGCAAAATTTAAATTTCTTGGCATGAAACAGGCTATAACAACGGCACCTGGTTTTTTTACTTCCAGTATTTCTTTAATACGCAACAAGTGCAAATTAATGCATCCAAGATGTCTGGATTTATCAGAATGCGTAATTGCATTTCATTCAACGGTGCATAAAGACATTGACATTCCTGATCTTTTATTTTAGATAGACATTAATGTGATCACAGTGTATCGATTCTCTAATAATATTTATCGTCATTAAAAATTTGATGTTTCACAGATTTCCTCCTTTAGCAGCTCTTTAAAATTTCTAGCAAATAAATCTCCTTTAAAAAAACTACATTTAATTTATCTAAACTTTCGTTACTAATATTAATAATTAACAATTCTATTGTGTTGTGACTAATCTCACTTGTCTGCCTAATCAGAACAAGCTCATAAATTTTATTGTGGTAAAGAATACAAGATTGCGTCCATCGTTGGCAAAAGCTTTGAGTGTGATACAGGTAACAGTCGGTCTTTGCCCAGTTCCGCCCCAATTTTGAGAGAATGTGCTCAAGGGAACGGTTCCAAAGATCTCCCATCACTCTTTCCTTACCATCAACCTGTCGGGAAGACTTTCGGTTCCCCGTATATTGTGAATCTCTCCATATCGCAGACATATAATCCATTTGCAAAGATGCCTTCTTCCGGATTCAAGCCCGGGACCTTTCGATACTTTAATTACGGTCACTGACCCTTTCCCACTTAGGGCGGCACTAATATTTGTTTTTTATTAGTATAAATTAATTAAATATCATTATATTATTTATCGTCTTGATTGCAGACACCAATTCTGATGTTCGTAATTGGCTATGACAGTTTTTAATTGCACAGTTTTCAGGTTCGATATTAAGCTTTTCACCTGGTTCGAGACTCGCAACAAGTTTGTTTCATAATTCCATGTTGATATCCATTAATCTGAATTTCGTTAAATTATCCTTTTCCAATAATGTAGATTTAACGTTTTTTCTGAAAATTCTAAATCGGTCGAATGAATGACAAAAAAAAAAAAAAAAAAATTCATAATCGCAACTACATCAAAAAGGATTTCACTGAAATCAGCATCATAAATACTTCTTTTCGTTTTGGGGATACGAAAATATTTTGTTATCTGTAAAACATTTACATCACTAGATGCTTTCACTCCAATTTTGTCTGCTACATAACTTTTATCGTTGAAACGTCTTAGCCAATATCCATTACTGCCTTAAATGATGCTTCACTTCAATATTAATTTTAGCTTCTTCAATCTTCATTAAAACCATTAAAAAGTTGAATTAGTTACATAATTACTGTAATTAATATAATGATAGTTAAAATAATATAATAGTTAGCATAATATAATGTTATAACAATTAATATAATATAATGATTATGTTATGTGGAAAAAAAAAACTACTTATCTACATTTAACTTTGAACTTCTCAAACTGACTAATCTGTTGCCGCGACAAAATGAAAAAAAAAAAAAACAAAACTACTAACTACTAAAAGCTACTAAACTTTTGTGCTAAACTCTGTACTCAGTAATCACAACTTTTATATCTAAAAGACATCAAAGAAAGATATCCTCCCTGGTGTTTTGGTAGAATCACGATTAATTATGCACATCCACAACAAAATCTTTAACAGGCTATCTCTCACTAAATTAAAACTAATTTATATCTCCAACCTGAAAACACATAAATTTCAATCTTAAATCTAGAGATAAGCTTAAACCTTGAACATTTCAAATATCACACAGAACTCTTCAAAACACCGGGGAAAGATACAATCTCCCAATTAAGAAGTCTACTCTTCAAAATCAAAATAAATTCAGTAAACCGATCGTATAGTCACCAACTAAAATTAATTTTTTTCTACTACCGCAAATATAATTACCCAGGTTCGGTTGAAAAACCATGTTTCCGTTAGGATCACATGGGTGACCTACAGTAGACCACAATTAATACACACAAAAAAAAACATACAATATTAAAGATAATAAACACATTTATTGAAAATTCCCACACATTATAACTTAAGATAGCTGGCCAGACTACCCCTACAAAATCTTTTAATGTCCTCATAGTTTTTTTTCTTTTCATAACAATCTCAATTTAAACATTATTTCATTAACTCAAAAATCATAGGGAAACACGTCACAGTTCTTAATCATTTTAAGCAGGAACTCAAGAATATTAAACTCATTTAAAAAAACTAATTTAGAATAAAACATATTGAACATAGCACTTAAACATTAAAACAAAGATTCACTTCCTCCAATTAGTTCAATTGACTTCTGACTATTAAACATTAAATAAAAAATTACTTTCTCAGCTAGAAATTGTTAAAAATATTCAATT